ACTCCGCCGCCACCTTGGCTAACCGGCCCGCGTCGGTGGGCTGGCGCCCGGGGCCTCGAACCGGCGCTGCGGGGGCCTCACCGCCCGAGCCGGGCCTTTCCTGGACCCGTGTCGCTGCCCCCCTGCCGCCTAATCCCGCGGCTCCACGAGTTTGGGTGAGAACTAGGGTCGCTCTGCACCGGGGCGGATTTCAGAGGAGAAAGCCGGTGCCCAGCGCACCCGCCCGAACTTCCCGGAGACGCCCAGTTAATGAGTTGGCCTGCCCACCCGCGTCGCAGGCCCCCGCGCCCCGCCACTTTCCTGGGCCGCCTTCCCACTCCCGGAGCCCCGGTTGGCGCCCTGGAAAGCGGGCCGCACTTTCCCTCCACACACCTGGTTGGCAGGGCGTCTCCGGGGACAAAAGGGGCGCTGGGATCCGAGCTGAGCCCCCACCCTCAACAGGCTGCTGCCCCGAGGGACTCTACCCGAGTCCCAGGGGGAGATTCCATTTCAACCTCCGATGAAAAACACGGTCCTCCTGGGTGCTCACGGGGGTCTGAGGGTAAGTGCTAGAATGGGAAAAACAGGCCTGCCCCTCACAGAGGTCTCCCGAGCCCGTAGAGGTGTGACAAGCTGTGCAAGGAGGGCTTCTGCACAGCCTCATACTAGGGCGAGATTCACATTCTCCAACTTCCCTGAGCCAGGACTCGGACTTCAGTGCATCTACCCAACTTTGTACTTCCCTCTGGTGCTTCCTGAATGTCTGAAGATGACTTGAGGACTACCAGTGAATCACAAGGGAAAAATTCAGACCTTGAGCCACAGCCTTGACCTTTTCCAAGGATAGGCAAGTACTGTAAATGGAGTTTTTGCCCTATTTTTTTTTACTACTTCTAATTCTTCCATATATTAATGGATCACAGACCTGCAGAAAGGGCAGAGGATGGCAGTTTGCTGTTTGTTAGTCCTCCAACCTTCCAAGCCCTTGTGGCAAATTCAAGCACTGTAGAAAAACTCCATTAAACAAAGAGTCTTCCTCCTATACCAGACTGCTTGGGGAGTTGCACGCTCGTATGTCCAAAGATAACCGTTTGGAAGTGAGGTTGGGAGCATGGGGTAAGATGAACAAAAAGAAAAGCAAATGAGGCCAACTCTTCCATTCTGCCAATAATCAAGAAAGTAACTCTTGTCAGCCACACTGGAGCATTTTAAATCAGAAGAGAGTTTAAGAGCACTGGGCCAAGTCTGAGTTGTCCTCCAGCCCAGCTCTTCTATAGACCAGCTGCATGGGCCAGTTATCTAACCTCTCCAAGCTTTGTCAACATCACCTGTGGAGGAAGGCGTTCGGCTTGAGGGCTTTCAAAGTCCTTTCTGGCTAGGGTCTGTTTTTTTGTGTTTTTTTTTTTTTCTTTATTTGTTTTAAAGGAATTATTTAAAGTAATCATTGGAACACAGGGAGAGAGGAGATTTTTAGTCTCAGTTTCCCTAGTTCCTTTTTCTACATATCAACTTAATACCATCATAGGTCTGTTCAGAGACCAGCCTAGATATATTTTTTTCTTTAGAGAGATTTTCATTATAGGGCACATGTACTTGCCAGAGAAAACAAGAAATCACCCCGCAAGGGAAATGGCCATGCCACAATCCCTTCTCCTCCATTATCCTCTTGGGATCTTGGGCACGCACACATGTGAGTTTTAAGGCGTCGGATCTGGGACTCAAACCATGGTCAACTACATGGGACTCCAGCAATGTAATCGTTAACACCATCTGCTGGTCCCCATACCAGCCTAGATTTAATACCCACCCCAGTAGGAATTGATGAACGGAATTTAATAAATGTG